TTAATAGTGTTGCTAGAAGCTCTTACTTTCATCTACGTAGAATAAAAAAACTTTTGCCTTTTCTTGATGATCCTACTCTTCTCCTTCTTGTTACTTCGTTAGTCTTATCTAGGATTGATTATTGTAACTCGCTCTACTATGGTCTTCCTGACTCTATACTCTATCCTTTAAGTAAAGCTTTTAACTCTGCTGCTCGTCTAGTTGCTCGTGCCCCTTTCTTTTCTCATATATCTCCATATCTTGTTCTCTTGCACTGGCTACCTATAAAATATAGAATAATTTTTAAAATTGGCACGTTCATGTATAAGTCTCAATCTAAATTATTTCCTAAGTACTTATCAGATATATTAATTGAACCTAAACGCCCCGGTTTACGATCGTCTTCTTCTTCTCGCTTTTTCTTAACTCGTGTTAAACACTCTTTTGCCAAATCTGCTTTTGCTTTTTCTGGTCCTTTTCTCTGGAACTCTCTACCTACTTCTCTAACTATTTCTCCATCACTTGCGAAGTTCAGAGCGGATCTCAAGACCCATCTGTTTTCAAAATTCATTGAGGAGCGCTGTTGAACATCGCGGAAATAGCGCTTTATAAGCTAATTGATTGATTGATTGATTTAAAGTTTTAAAGTACTATCACGTCAACGACTAAAAATTACTCGAAATCGGCAAATTCACATAAGCGACATTCAATTGACAATTTGCAGACATAAACCTGACAGATTAACTCAGCTAGTTGTTTACGCATTAATAGTTATAATTATAAAACGCCTACCGGTATTTGTTATAAATAAGTATATTTACCCAACTGGTTCAACCTACCCGTGGTTCATGAAGCCCTGGCCAACCCTAGATAAGAAGATACATTTGGACACTTAATTATTAGATAAATTGACTATGTATTCCACAATTTATTTAATACAATTTATTTGTAATATTTATAAACATGCTGGGTAAGATATACAGGTGTGAATGCTTTAGACAAGAACTTATTTAGTAAAGGCTCCTAATTGTTTTTATCGTTTAAATTATCAGTATTAATATGGCAATATTTGGTTTTTTTAAGTGTTGGCGACCTTTGTTTTGCTTATTTCAGATTATTTTTTATTAAAACTAGTGTTTTGCGGTCCTAACGCAGAGGCAAAAAATATGTTAATTTCAAGCTATTGATTAGATGGAGATTTTTTGTCTTGTTGATTTGCGTTTGTGTGTGTTATGTATATATATATAAATGCTATAAACGTGTTTTTTCAAGTTTTTTCCAACTTTGCGCATATAAAATATCTGTACTTTATCTGTAGCTACTTTATCTGCATTTCTGCCAACACAAGGAACTTGAACTGTGGTGTGTATGTAAGTATCAAAATTCGTTTAATATAAATTTCAACCAAACGCATGTAAAGACAAAAGTATGCCGAACTTTCTTTGTTTGAACAGGCATGCACACCAATAAATAAACAGATTCAACCTCGGGGAGAAATAAATTTTAACATGCGTACGAAGTAGATGACGTGGATGTGTCACGTGATGATGATTGATCTAATGAATGACTGTGGGCTAATAATAACTTTAGATGATTAAATATATCCTCCACGAGAGATGAAACTTCTTACGTCAGCATAAAAATGTTAGTTGATGTGAAATTAATTTTGTTTCCCATCATTAATTTGTTTGCATAATTTCGATCTGCATTATTGAAAAAATCATTGAAAAGCCAAAATAAAATGTATTATTAATATCTAATGTTTATCACATCAAACCTGCACTAAAGTCATTATCAAAATAGAAAAGTTATTGTAGAGTTGTAACTGTGATACTGTGATTGTCCAGCCTGACACATTTACATCCAACCATATTTGAAAAGTACAAATAATAACAGGATTAAAAACAAGATAACTTTGATCTGACTAGCACGTAACGTTAAATAACTTGCTGCATTATATATATATATATATATATATATATATATATATATATATATAGGATTAAAACAAGATTAATGTATATATATATATATATATATATATATATATATATATATATATATATATATATTATTACCCGCCATAGGCCAGACGAGACTCGTCAGTAGGGTAAGATAACATAATAAGATAACACAACTCAATTATTGCAACCAAGAAACGCAAATTGAGGTGTCGCGACCAATAGGTAAAAACAACATCACGTTGTTACAAGGTTTAAGAACCAATTCCCGCATCATCTTCAGTGCATATTTGGTTTATATAGTTTTTTTAAACAATGCAAAGTTTAAAAAAACTATATAAACCAAACCTGCAAAGAAGATGATTTGTGAAAAATCGAAATTGGGCCTATCTGCATGATGAAT